ATGTATAAGCACAGATTACATACATGAATCCATAAATACACATAGTATATATAATTGTTTGAGAAATGAAAAATCTGACTGAACACAATAATTTCTTATGCAATAATAAATAGAAATATTATCTATACAGCCACTATTAGTTCAATTCCTCCATTAATTCAACCGGGCAACAAAAACTAAAACCAAATAATAACGGTTACAACAAATAAAAAACACAACATTGGTGATATTTCTATTTAAATCTCCCGCTGTAGTCTGTGACTGACGTTTTCACTTTCGCTTTTCCTCCGACAACCCCCTACCACTTTCGTGGCGTCTGCCGACAATTTAACCCTTTTTGAGCGCGCTGCCTGACCCTGCGGTGAACTCGCCTTGCTTATGGCAAAACGGAAATGTATTTTGTTGTTTTTTTTTGGCTTATGCCCCCACACACCCTCGAAGCGTTCGACTATTAATTCAAATACACATGTACAAACATATACACTCGTACATATGTACATACAAAGGAAAACGCGAGCAAAAAGGAAATTAAAAGGTTACTTAAAATGGTTTGTTGGTCTTGTCAAAGCCAACAAGTTCGGCGCATAACTAGATCCCGTGGAGACTTTATGCGCCACCTTGATGTCATCGGTTTGGTGCTTAACACCGTAGGGTGAAAGGCATTATTACCCAGAGATAACAGAAAATATAATATTACTTTACAAATTAGAGATTTTGAACTTGAATGTTATTTGAGTCATTCGGTCCATTCGGTTTATCTGTTTATTTGGCAGCACTATTTCAATGATAATTGTTTAATATTTTGTAATACCGTTAACAAGAGAAGTGTGTGAGTGTTTGTTGAGGTTGAATCTGGTTTAATTTACCCAAAAAGTATCAAATTACTAACAGCACACAAATATGGTTATGATACATAGGCAATGGTTTCATAGCGGGGAAAAGGGTTCAGGGTGTTTGGATGAAAGAACATTTAAAAAGGCATGCAGTAGAGGCTTTATTCGAAATTGTTTAGAAATTTTTAAAAATATGTAGCGTTGTAAATTAAAATGTTCTCTATTAGTGGCAACATTAAAATTCGGAACTGAAACCTTTGAGAATGAATAGTAGAGTTAGCTCTATCCGACTTCTTCAATTAATATATTTCAACATGGCTCTAAGCGATCTTAGCTTCATGATCTTTTATACTTGAATATCAAGTTTGCTTGGCCTATGATTGTATATATTTGATGTAACAGATCATGACAATGATCACTTAACTTTTTGAGTAATAGACCTACTCATTCTTTTCAAGCTTGGATCGATTCGAAATGGCACTTGATTTCAAGGTTTTACTATTGCAGTTTTCAATGCATTGTCCTGCCTTTATCGTTTTTATTTCCTGGTAACTCATAAAACATTTTTAGAGTTGGAGAGTTTCGTTTTTATATCTATGTCTTCGGCATGCATTTGGGTTCGAAAAACTTTATTGAAGATCTTATATAATTCTTACAGCTCATGGTTTCATTTTACGCGATGTTTGTGAATGAGTAAGGGTTAACAGCGTCTATCAATAAAGATGACGTGTTTTTTATAGCCCATGGCGCCCATATTTGTTTACAGATTTGTGTCAAACTTTGTCAGTGTGTTCACTAAGGTTTGCCATTTCATCATGACACGTTTCACTTTTAAATCAAAGGTTTACACCAATCAACAACAATGATATCGATGTTATCAGCATAATGCCAGCAACTGTGCTATTCTTAAATACTTACTAGTTATATTGGTCGGCCCAACGAACAATTTTCTCTAACTTTCGCTTGAAGAAGTCTTACTACGAGCAGCTCACATGGCAAGTCCAACCTTTTCAATAACGGAATTCTAAGCTACACTTTAGGCAAAATCAGCTTTTGTGCTTTCACACAACTCGTGTTTAGAGCTTTTGTGCTTTTGCCCTAAACGATTAGATTTATCATATTTCATACGAGCAGTTGTACTTAGCAACTATAAATTTAATGTAGAAACAAATTATAGGTTTTGTTCACCTAACGGTTGTTAGTATAATAATAAAAAACCTAATCGAGATAGATATGGAGTTGTATAGGTATATATAAATGATCAGGGTAACGAGACGAGTTGAAATCCGAGTGCCTGTCTTGTCTGTGAAAGCGATAATTTGAGTAAAAATTAAAATCTCTTAATGAAACACACGATTGCTTGGCACCCAAAGGGGGTTAGTATTGCAGATGGGCGTAATCGGACCACTTCCACATCCACAAAACGTCATTAAACGAAAACCGAAAATTGCCATAACTATGTAGTAAATTAGGATACAAACTGTTATTTGATGCAATAGATTGCAGTACTGAGGAGCACATGTGGGCTAAACATGTTTTTTAAAGTGGGCGTGGTCCCACCCTCTAAATTATGAAGCTATCTCAACTAACCTTGCTGAGAAGAAGCACTTTTTTACACTCGTACAACGTGAAAATGGGTTAAATCAGATAATAACGATGGCCCCTCTCCATATAACGGTTATGTGTAAAATACTAAAAGTGCCATAACTCACTGAATAAAAGAGCCAAAAGCTTTAAATTTGACAGCCAGGATGGCTTTGTTTGAGTCGGTGTAAAAATAGGACAATGGGCGTAGCACCACCCATTTTTAGGTGAAATTCTATACCTCAAGAACTACTTAACCAATATCAACCAAATTTGGTGTACGAAGTTGTCCTCTTATTACTATTGCACACTATGGAAATGGGCGAAATTGGTGACAACCACGCCTACTTCCTATACCCAAACATCAAATATGTGAACACAGTGCATATGGCTGATTTTTATCAAACATATCGGTTAGTCTATGAGTTCTTGAATTGGAACTTGGGGAAGCATATTTTTGTGGAAACAGCATGCCCTTGTGCCAAAAGTAAGTAAAATCGGGTCAATATTTCCCTTAGCCCCCAAATTTCTAATATACATAGGAATTTTCGAACTTTCGGTTGACTTTATACCGCATCTATCGGTCAATACGTAAGAAATCTTAATGAAATTCCGAATCTCTTTCTAGTAATAGTGTATCTACTTGTGATTGAAAATAATGGATGCAATACTTTCTACTTTTTATCAAAATATATACGAAAATCCTGTATATCACTTTACCTTGCGAAAGTATAAAATGTTCGGTTACACCCGAACTTCGAACTTCCTTATTTGTTTAATATAAGTTCGACGGGTAAAAAATTTTGCTTGCTAATTTGGATTAGAAGTTTTTATTTGAAAAATCTCGTCTGAAGTAAAACATTTCAGCTAGTTGTTAAAAGACGTTGTCGATAATATATAAAAATATTTTAAGAAAAGAAAATTTTTTAAATAAACCTGTTTTTAGTGGATGTAAAAATACCACGATCTTTATATTGTACTGCTTGTACAAGGTGCGTTCCAAAGTAAACAGGACTTTGAAAAAAAAGACAGAACAAATGGTTTTATCGGCAAAATCAATTAATTTTATTCAAAATAGTCTCCTTCTGCTTTAATACAGCCTTTTGCACGGTCCAAAAGCATGTCGAACGAGTGTTTTAGCTCGTTGCCCGGTATGGCCGCCAGTATGCCGGTGCAAGCCTTTTGAATGGCCTCCACGTCTGCATAACGCTTTCCCTTCATCGGCAAATGCATTTTTCCGAAAAGGTAGAAGTCGCACGGTGCCATATCAGGTGAATATGGGGAGTGGTTGATTGTTAAAATATGATTTTTGGTCAAATAATCGGCCACAAGCGTCAATCGATGAGACGGCGCATTATCGTGCAACAAACGCCAACTTCCATCTTCGCGATATTCGGGCCGAACACGTCGAATACGGCGCACCAAACGCTTCAAAACTCCAAGGTAGAATACCGCATTAACGTTTTGGCCGGGTGGAACAAATTCTTTGTGGACTCATAAAAAAATGTTGGAATCATAAAAACAAATCAGCATTGTCTTCACTTTTGATTTCTCCAGGCGCGACTTTTTGGGTTTTGGCTCGTCCTCATTTATGTCCTCACGACCCCATTGTAAACGTTGAAACCACTCGTGACTCTGCCACGGGATGGGTAATCATCACCATAAACTTGTTTCATCAATTGAAACCACCTTAGTATCAATAAATAAGCATGAGAGTGTATTGATATTGGACACAGCTGACTCAGAGTATAATCTAGTAGATATTTTTTTCTTTTTTAAATTGTAACTACCTCGCCACCAAACTCCTTTTTTCGCAGGTTCTACTGAATCAGCTACGGGATCAAGGGAATACAAAATTTTTCAAAATGAATCACCAAATACGTAAGTATATTAGTATAGTATGGTACATTAAATGTTGTTGAAGTACTTTATTTTATATTATTTATTAAATTAAAAATCTCTTTAAAAAATTCAATTAAAGTCCAGTTTTTCTGAACTGGCAGTGAATAAAACCCCTTAAATATATTAAATACGTGTCCCTATCACTGGATAGATTAGGTTAGGAGGTCGATCCCAAGAATCTCACCTATTACTGGATAACCTGATATGAAACTTTTGCTTTTCCGAAATTTATTAGTTATTGCAGAAAACCCGCATAATTGGAATTTGAAAATGCCTGCCAAATCTAATAATTACATTAACAAAAAAATACTTTCACAACTTGAAACCGGTCCGGACTAGAAAACCCCTTTAAGTCGTCTCCAAACACAACTATCTAAGTACATTCGAATATACTAATATGCGTGATTAATAGTTTATCAATGAATTACTACATACATATTTATATATTTGCATGCATAAATAGGCATGACTGTAGAGCTGATATAGTCAAAAAGCTCTCAGCCCTCTATTTAATCAACGCTTACCAAGTTTTTCTTTAAACTATATAATACTCATATCAATATCCATATAACCGTTCTAATGTTTCAGTATTACCTCAGCACGATAGTTATAAACAAAAGAAAACCCGAAGCCAAACGTATTCTCAGTGCAGTTATAAATAAGCAAGATTATACTTGTAAAAGCTTAATACAACAAAAGCTTCTTCCCACTTAATGTCATTCAGCTGCACGATCGATCAGCTTGTCAGATCCCGGAATTAGTAGCATTTTAGATGCGAGACCAACAGTAGCAAAGTATGTGGAGACAGGTTACTAGAATTTTAGTGTTGCTTTTTAGCGACATTCTCATTGCTGCGCATAATGGGCCAGCATACGAATCTGGTAAAAGCAAATATACTTGTATATACATATGTACATATTGCGGTAAACAAAAAAGAAAATACAATTTTTTTTTGGTTTATTTTGTTTTAAGCGCCACCAAACTGTCTAAACCCAAATCATAAAGTCGGCCAGTGCATATCAATCTACGAATGCCGTTCGTTGGCTTTCGTGTTAAGAAAACAATTAACGGCACAATATAGTTTCGTACGTATGTCGCAATGTGACGGTGGCGCTTATGCAAGAGGAAAATTTCCCTTCGTTTGTTGCACGAGCGATACGAAGTTTCTCGATCCAAATGATGACCAGAAACAACGCATTATCTTTCCGGATACGAAAATAACGGAAGTACCTGATGTCGGACGTCAGACTGTCGCCTTTATTACACCCCCACACTGTGGTGCGCTGACTATTTCGAATAAGATTTTTGGCGGTGAGGAAGCTGAGATTACAGAATTTACCTGGATGGTTAAGTTGGAATATAAGAACGGTAAGTTTTGGAGGGGTATACTATTCAGCAATTGGTGATAGTTTGCAGAAAGTGAAAGTTTAAAAAAATATTTGAAGTGAAGGTTAAGCAAATTTGGCTCATACCTAAAGTGGTAAGAGAACTAAGTATGTATAAAGAGTTAAATTATTTTCCAAAATTTCATAGCTTTGTTGCAATCAAAATGGTTTGATTTATTTCTTTGCTATACGATAAATTTTTATCGTTTAGTAGTTCAAAAACTAAATCGTTAAAATATCGCTTTGCGCAAAGAGAACACCAAAATCGTCAATTCAACGAGTCTTTCAAGTAAAGAGTCAAGATAGTAGAAAAGCATGGTGATAAGTTACTACTATGGTCTGCCTTGGTGTAAAAGCGCATTATCTTTGATTTTTTTTTATCGCGAATAGCTCAATTCCAATCAATTATGAATCGATCCGGTCGAGTTCTGCTTTCTCGAAATTGTCGGGTATTCATTGTGAAAGCATTATACATATCAGCCACAATGCTCATAAATGCATACCGTTACCGTTTATTAATATATGCTTTTGAAGAGGTGAGACCATTTTTAAAAATATTTCCGTTAAAAATCTTTTTTAAGTATGATAAATTTCATGTCATTAATTCACTTTTTTTTGGAATGCACTAAATAAAAATATTATATTTAAATAGTTAGTGAGTTTTCTCAAACATATATTTTGATATAATTAAATATAAATATTATTTTTTTAACAGGTGGCAAAGCTTTAAATTTTTTTTAAAGATTTTTCAAACTCGCTATTTCGTATTGCTACGTTTTCTTTTTAATGTATTTACGTTAATATTTTTCAAACAGGTGGCAAGGCTGCTAACAAATAATTACAAAATAATAATAAATCATTTTGACTTTAAATTAGCTAAAAAATCTTAAAAGTGGTGATGTGTTAAGTTAGTATTTCTTCGAATTGCCAAAGAGTTTATATTTCTAGAAAGTTGTAACCCTGGGTTGATCGAATATACGAATGTAAATTTAATTAGAACTTCCCTTTCCAGTATGTATAAGTACACTTAAGTGAAATTATGTTAGCATTAAATATTTTCTTCGCGGAATAGCTATTTAATCAGTGAAATGTTTACATACAAATGTAAATATACTGTGTGAATATATGTGAGTATTCTAATTCAATTTGGCAAGTTCTTGGGAAAAGATAATACATTACTACGCTTCTGCGTCCGTAGAGAGGCCACAAGTAATATTAATATAACATTATGATTCAAAAATTGGAGTATAAATTATGAATATATCTTCAAAGATCTTTTTTGTTTTTTTTGGCTTTCAGAAAGTGGCTTAATTCTGTCGGAATGTGCCGGTTCTTTAATCAACGAACGATATGTTCTAACTGCAGCCCATTGTGTGGTCGGTCCTATAGAGCAGAAAATTGGAAAACTGTAAGTTCACACTAGTTTGCCATCTAGTGTTAATCTAAATATATATTTTGTAATACACTTCTATTACATTCCAGCGTTACCATTTTTATAGGGGATCAAGCAAACTCATCTTCATATAATTACAATCATTATGAGTATTCACCGTCCTCTCAACGCTTCGGCGTTGAATCTGTTATCGTGCACAAGCATTACGGTTACGATCCGTTTACAAATGTACATGAACATAATGACATAGCGTTGATTCGACTGAATATGTCTGTGGATTTTAATAACTACATCCAGCCTGTTTGCTTGCCGGTACCAACTCTACAAAAGGAGCTAACTGAAGGACAACCTCTGACTGTAGCTGGTTGGGGTCATACTGGTTTATGTAAGTAGAAAATTTATCGCGAACGAAGTCTTGCTTAAAAATTGCAACACATAAGTAAGGTCTAATTATTTTAAGTATTCAATTCAAAAAACCTGCCAATTAGATTGGTTAAAAACTGTCAAATAAATTTTATATAGGAATTTTAACCTTAATGTAGGCGGTGCCACTCTTGTTGTCCTACTTTTAGGCTGATTCCAACGAGAGCATAATATAACTTCCCCAACCCTTATGTGGACGTGGGCATCGTTGTTACCTTATAACACTTACGTTTAAACTAATAAAACTAATAATAATACAAATACTAAATTATATGAAAAATACTGCTGATATTATATATTATCAATTTCATTTTCTTATTTATTTAGCCCGACATAGCAGGGTGAAGAAAAAAGTCCACTTGCCCCTATTTTCAATGGAAAAGTGTCGCCATATTTTCGAGACTCAGACATCACTATCTGATGAGCAACTCTGCGCTGGCGGTGTATTTTATGAAGACGCATGCACTGGTGATTCTGGCGGTCCACTTATGCGCCTTCATTCAGCCTCTTGGGTTCTAGAGGGTGTTGTGTCATTTGGGCGCCAGAGCTGCGGTCAAGAAAATATTCCGGGAATTTATACTCGTGTACGAAGTTATATCGATTGGATCGCTGATCACATGGAACCTTGGTAGTAACAGGGTTATAATATACAGGGTTACTTAGCTAATATTCAAAAATATATAATTTGTAACATTTTTATAGGAATATAAAGAATATATATATGATTTGTACATGACCAGATTTCAATGTGTATATCTATATATGTATGTTATAAACAAAAGTTCTTAAGATTTTTCAAATGGACGCTTTACTTTGGAACTGGAATGTTTTACTGAAAACCGTCACTTTTTTATGATATGAACACTCTGATTTGTAATACTCTTTTATTCTGTCTTAACAGCTTAAAATTGTGTGAAGGAACAAATCTCTATCACGACCGTAATGTACACATCGTCACTGTGTTTGAATATATTTTTTTATTATTCATGTGTATTACATTCGGTATTTAGATTAATAACTATAATTAAAGCTGGAAATTTGCCACCACTTTAAAATTTTCAAATTAAAAAACCTAGTAAAGTATTGAATAATTAAGTAATAAATGAAGATTAGAAAAATTTACAAGAGAAAAGTACCTGTAACTGTACCTGTTTTAAACTTCCCCTGCTTTGACCAAAATGTTGTAATTTTATATAAAAGAAGACAACTATACCTGAATAGATTACAGCTTATAGTACCAAAAATCAACATATTTTCGAGGAGAGTTGTCACATGTTTAGAAACTTTAAAGTAACAAAATTAATAAGATAAAAAATTTCTAGCTACATATAGCTTACTTAATAAGCAGGTCATATAACCACTTAGTCCGATGTATTTATATTAAAATCAATCTAACTAACAAAAATCTCAGACAATTATCATTATCTCTCTAGATTTCATCATTCATATATACGATATAACGTTAACCGGAAGTTCGAAAATTTTCAACACAAGGACACATTATTATCAGGAAAATATTTTCTTAGAATTTTATTAATATATCGACCGATATTTTCCACCATTAGACACTGAGCACCATATATTTGATATACTTGTATGGGGGCATAAAAAGTTATAGACCATAGAGAAGACATTATTTTTGCCAATTTTTATTTCATTATCTTCATTAGTACTTGATTTATACTGAATTGATTCTACTATATTGAATTTGAAATTAATATATATATATGATGTAGGCCTGGTTGTAGTCAGATTTCGCCAATTTTTACAGTGAATGATAGGAATGATTGGATAACCTAACTAACTAAATTTGTTTGAAGTTGGTCGAGTTGTTTCTGAGATATGGGACTTCACCTAAAGGTGTGTGGGTGGTGATCTTAATTTGTAGCTTAGTTTAAGCTCTTTATATGTTTTCGAGTAATGTCATTTTGTGGGCGTCACAATGATGATTATGCCTATCTGAAGTGCCGAACTTTTTATGGTGCCAACTAACACATGTACCAAGTTTCATCAAGATGTCTTAATTTTAACTCTAGTTATCGCTTGCGCGGACGGAATGACGGACAGACAGTCTTTCGGAATTCAACTGGCCTCGTCCTGATCATGTATGTACCTATATATACTTCATATTACTCACCATTAGTTTTACGTGTTACAAACAAAGGTTAGGTGAACAAACCTATTATACTCTGTTGCTACATGCTGCAAGAGTAGAAAAATATACATGTGTTTATATAATTTAAATGATATATAATTAAAATTCGGAGAGAATCCTTTCCCGATAATACAAGTAGTATTGAGACTCATTGTGTTATATAGGTTGAATCGGATTAAAACTTCACCCATATACCTAACTATTAGAAATATTTTCGAGCTTCCGTCTGACTTTATACCACATATGGAATTATATCGGCCAATATGTGAGTTAGCTTAATAAAATTGAGTGAGCGTGTTTTTCTAATAATGCTGCATTGTTGTGCCTAAAATGGATCAAATCGGGTGAGTGATTTTCAAACTTCCGATTGACTTTATTCCGCATATAACGGTCAATGTATACGATATCGCTAGAAAACTTAAGGGTACGTGTAATATTGGTTATACTATAGTCTAAGTATACGAAGTATCCAATTCCCATATACTACATATGTACATAAAATTGTTTTTGTTATTTTTACAAACCTTATGCCGAATATATTGGTCAGTGTGTAAGTTATTTATTTATAAAATTGCCTGCAAAAATGTTCTCGAGTATACCTTAACAATGTCAAATGTTCATGCAAGAAGCTAAGACCCAATATACTCTGTATAGAGATATCCAACTTTCCAGCTGACTATAAACCGTTTAGGTTGATCAAAATGTGTGATACTTTAATTAAATTAAGTGGACAAGTATGCTTACAAATAGTTAGCGCTTAAATTAGATTTTGGTGTAAGCCTTGGTATATACCTCATATTCCTAATATAATGAATTTCCAATCTCTGGTTAACGTTTTCCACATTATCTCAATATATTTAATATTGTCTCTTCGGTTGAGTTAATATCACATAGTATACTCGTATCTAATTTGAAGATGTTTTTATATAATTTTAGTTAACGCCTACTAAATTATAGCTATATAACTAAGTGAGTCTATGACCTATAATATAACTGAATCAAATACTGAACTTCATTGTTATATATTCACGATTTCGTCGAATAATGAATGTTGTTGTTTTTTTCGCAACATTTTTTATTATAAAGTTTTGCTACATCTGATGATATTTCCCTTTGTTTATCCTTGCAAGTTGAAAGAGTAGAGGTTAAAACCGAACTTAGCTCTTCCTTACTTGTTTTTTTTTAGAAAATGTAATGAAATGCTTAAGACGCACTTAGATCAGATTTGTTTCAATGTGTACCCTTCTTTTAATATCAAAAGCAAAATATTTAATATTATATTCACTTCACATAAATAAATTTTGCGTAACAGCATCTTTTTTCTTGTTTATTTTATAACTATTAAAAAATTAAATATTTATTATAATTTTAGTTCCTCCTTGAGAGCACAAATTACTCATGCGATTAAATGTCAACAGCTTCTGTTTGCAGAATTCCACAAAAGAGTTAACCACAACTACTGTATATTATATAATATTAACTGTAAATTGCTAAAATAGCCGAGACTCCAACTCGAGTTCGATAACTTTTATAATGAGACAATGTCAAATCAAACGCTAGTTGCACTTGGGGAGTCATTAAACTGCAATAAAACTACTAAAATCTTGCTAGCCAACAGCTAGCTGGAAGATGAAGAGCGTAGCTAGATATAATATATAATATTGTTAGAATGCGTGACTCATGCACTTACGGAAACGGAAATATAATATTATCAGGTATTTCCCTAGATTGGATGACAATCCAGAGCAACGCACTACAAATGCTGTTGTCATGCTGAATGCAGAGCAATCTACAAATGACACTCAAATACTTGCATACATTGGGAATATGCATACGTGAAAGATGTACATTGTGTAGCGTTGTAAGTCATTGAGTTTTACGTTCGAATTAAAGAATTAGTAAAATAGACAATAAGAAGTCAAGAAAACAACAAGTTTTTCAAGAAATTGTGTGCATAATTAAAATTTAAATGCAAAAAAAAATGCAATATTAATTTTGTATATATTTTTTATGTATGTGAACAGATTTTTGTTCTTAAATATAAAAGGGTACAAAAAGATCTTTATCTTGATTTTGATCGGTTAGTTTGTGTGCCAGCTAAATGCTAAAGTGGTCCGATCTGAACAATTTGCTCAGTTATTTAAGCGTTGTCTCAAGCAATAAGTTATGTCGAATTTCATGAAGATAGCTTGTCACGTAAAAAAGTTGTCTCTACAATCAGTAGATTTTGATCGAAAAGCTTGTATTTCAGCTACAGTGGTCCGATATCGGTAATTCCGATAAATGAGCAAAAACTTGAATAGAAATGGACGTGTGCAAAAATTTTCTTTTTTAGGGCTTCCAACGTTTTCTTCTGGGTGTAAGAAGTAATAAGTTCGTTGCTTAATATAGCCTGTATAGACATAGATAAGTCGTAACGAAATGTTCGGGAAGGTACTCACTACTTTCTTTACACTCTCAGACTTTCATTTGTATTCGGAGCAACTTCTAACATGCAGTTTGCTCAGTCGGTCTTTATGTCTTTATGTGTACCTCATAAGACTGAAAATGAGTGAAATAAATCACCTCAGTGAAGAAAATAATAATTTTAAAATCTTTGACTTTTTTAAAATCTTTTTAAAGAAGCTATGTCATTTCGATGCATCGTTATCCTTCCAGTGGTACAAATCAGCGTTATCTTTCTAGGGTTAATTACCCCCTCTTTTTTCATGACAGCTGACTGAAAATTTTTGCATTCGCCCAAAGCGATATTGTTGGATGAGTTGGTCATATGTTGGTTGAAATATACGATTTTTTCCCTATAATTTCCCTGTTAGAGGCGAAAGCATGTACTTTTATTTTTTTGATATGACGAATTATTATTGTTTAACCAAGAAAACAATGGAAATTTTTTTAATTTGCCAAAATTATATACTAGCTCTGATATTAGTGGTCCGGATTCTCCAAAACACCATTTTATAGGAAAACAAACAATACAACAAACTTGATTTTTATCCCACAATTTGTAATAGATGCTACAGTGTATATTTATATACGAGGGTAGCATGATAAGTTAGGAATTTGCGCCACATTTTTTAATGCTACTTCAGTTTGATCCAATATACTTACTAATTATAGAAAATAATAATACTTATTTATTAAATTAGTGTAATCTTATTATATAATGTATAATATGCCAGTTGTTTGATCAATTCGTCACTGACAAAATTTGGACGAATTGTATCAAATGTATTTAGAAAGAATATGTCTTTAATTTAAGAAAAAATCGTGGAAAGAAGTTGTTTGGTATCAAAGCCTACTATATATTATGGTCATACATTTAAGTTGGAATCGAAGATACATTTGCTCGATTTGAAGCGATAAGTAATCAGAAGAACCTTACGCGTAACACTCTTTCGTATTTAAGTATATTTTAAATTACGCTTCTTTGATTTTTGAAAATGTGTAAATTTTGATTTTGTATGCCTTTGATTCTCGGAACACTGACAATTTAGAGTTTTAGAAAATTCAAATATTCTACCATAGTACAGTTTATTAATTAATTTACATATATATTGTATTAAGAAATAATTTTCGATTATTTAAAATTACAGCAGCTTCATTTCGAAACAATGATGAACTTCAGACGAGGATTTAAAATTTTGATCGAAAATTGTACTATTAAAACAAATCATGGAATTGGAATGAACATTCCGAACGAGTTTGAACAAGTTTTCGGTTCGAAACTATATTGCAGGGGTTAGTAGCAGTGACTTCTATACTACTATCACGTATAATACAAAGATTCACTGTCTTAATAAATAGCCCTCGTTTATTTATATGCAGATAATTGAATCTTTTTGGTGTAGCGCCACAAACCACAAATCAGGTGTGTGAGTGCTTTTGGAATTTTCGTACTGTGTACTGGATTCACACTCATTTGAAATGAGTGAATATTTACAAAAAAAATAACCAATAAAAAAGTATGCCAACCTTTTTAGAACACAAACGCAATTATTTGAAATTACAAAGAAAAATGACATCTCATGGCGTTGCTTTCAAGAAAATTTGTGACAATTTACTATCGTATTTTTTTTTATATTTAGCTTAAAAATGTTTGTTGTAGTCCGGTCAATTTACACATTAAAGATTACGAAAATTCGTGTGCAAAATATGGGGATTCAATTAAAAATGGTGGCTCTTACAAAAAACTATTGATAAATTATGTAAATTATGTGATCTACAATTTCGTTCTGAGGTAATTTCCGAAATAACTCATGGTTTTGCTGAAAATCGTGTAAAACTCATTTTTTAACCTTTGACTTTGTGCCAATTTTATGGCAAGCACCGGAATGACGAGGACTTTTGAGAATTCTTTTATAATTATATTTTGAGCAATTTTGCCGAATTTAAATTTCTTATGAATTTTTGTAACCTTTCTACTTATTTTAGGCCTCAATTGACTATTAGGGATTTTCATTTTGAACCGAACTGAACCAATTTTTTGAGTCGTTTCCGGTTCGGTTTTCGCATTTAAAAAAAAACAGCGGTTTGGTTCGTGGTTCGGTTTAAGGCCAGTAAAAAGAGGCGGTTCGGTTCAAAACCGGTTTGCAGATCTGGTTGATAGGAAAGAAATTTACATATATGGACGCACTCACTCAAAGCTTTGTAAGTTTGTATGCACTATCACTCGTTTGGGGAACATCTTCAACTATTTTTCAGCTGTTAGCGAGCAAACAACTATATACTAAGTTCCTTAGCCTATACACGACTTAATTTCGCATACATATTTTTATAAAAGAACGCGCTAAGAAAATTGTAGAGCTTTAATATATAGAAAGGGACAATATATTAAAGCTGTTTATATATATAAAAAAAAAGCAATAACCGAATCTATTTTTTTTTTAATATTAAAAATTTCAATTTCAGCGTGTGAATCAGCCAAATGATTATGTTTCAAATTTGTAACACTTCTAGGGCTCATAAAGCATCGTATGTCGCTTTTGGGACCCTAGAAAAAATTTAAATTTCATACACTAACGTCATCAGCTTATCACCTTATAGAAACGAAACAGCAACGGTTGCTTATCAGGCTTGAAAAATTACGCCATAATTATAGCTTTCGACTTTCTGCGCTAGGCGATGAATTTCGACATAAACACCGAAGTTAATCTCTTAAACTATTCTTACTCATAACCGCAATAGCAAATGGATTAATTTACTTGTAGAAGTGATTTACAAATCGAAACAACAACAAACACATGTGTAGTCAGTGTAACATCTTAACTGGTTAAAGGCTCGATGCGTGTTAAAGCACTCAATTTAGTCACTCAGTCAACTCATTTATGAAATTCACTGTTTCAATTACCAGTTTGATTTCTTTGAACATCTTATTGGCAGCGTGAAGTATAAAAGTGGACCACTGATTCAGCTGAGATTTTAGTTGTGCTCCAATACTCTGCGCATAAACGTGTGCTGCAATTCCTCTGAATCAATAACGAAGTTACAAAATCGTGTGAATAACTGTTATAGTGAGTGTGTGTGAGTGTAAGAGCTAAAGCTGCAAGAGTTAAGAAGTTTCAAGCAGAAAAATAAATCAAAAGTAAATTTTTGCAAAATTTTAAATCTACTCTTAAAACAGCAAAAATTAGCAGAAAACATCTTCAATTAGCAGAACAAATCTTCAGAATTGAAGCCTGAAAATGTTGCGCGCACTTTTTATCACCGTTATAAGCGCGCTGTCAACCAACTTAGCGTTTGGACAATACTTCGAAACGCAGAGTAAGTATTGAGCAGTAACTTACTATAACTGTAAACTATAAACGATCGAAAAGCAGTCCCCACTTTTTTGTCCGACGCTTTCTATATATTGTGAAATAACACCTTTAGATTTAGAAGCGTTAATCAAAAAAAAAATTTATTAAATAAAACTTTTCAAATTAAAAAAATTTTAATTGAAGGAGATGAGTTTGATCGATCAGTTTGTATGGCAGCTATCTGCTATAGTGGTCCCATTTGAACAATATATTCAGAGATTGTCAAACAAAAGAGTCTTCCGTACAGGAGCATGATCTGTCAGTTGTATGACAGCTATATGCTTTATTTGTACGATATCGGCGCTTCCGACAAATGAGCAAATTCATGTTGATAAAAAAACATGTTCAAAATTTCGGATCGATATCATAAAAACTGAAGGACTAGTTCGCGTATATACTGACGGACAGACAGACCACATGGTTAAATATACTAAGCTTGACACGCTTGTCATTTACCATATATACTTGTGTATATATACTTTGTAGGGTCTCCAACATTTCATTTTTGGGTGTTACAAACATCGTTGCAAACTTAATATACCCTGCTCAGAATATAAAAATAAGATGCAAGTGCAAAGTTTTATTATAAGTAAGAAAATAATATATTTTGCATAAGAAATGAGTGGACGATTATTCATACATCTTAGTAATAATATTAGTGGAAAAGGTTTTTAAGAAAAAATTAAATGTAAATAACTTTTCATATTAATATTGGTGCAAAATATTTTTAAATTTTTTTTGTAATTTATTTAATTCAATTTTCTTTTCTGCAAAAGCTATCTCTTTTAAACAAAAACTTAAACCCTTTTATTTTCAAAACAGGTGGCAACGCCAGAAAATTGTATATAATTAAAGCTTTTAAATTAGCCTGCATCTTATATATATCTATAACATTATTTTAAATTTTTGGCACTAAATATTCAGGATTGTAATTAGTGGTGGCCACATTAATTTAATTACAATATATAATACTTTAACTCCAGTTTTTGAGCATATTTAAAATTTTATTATATCCTATTTTCTTATTATATACAAAAAATACATATATTTTAAGTCAGTTGGCCACTCTATTATTTTTGTAAAAAAAAAATTTTTTTAAATAAATTAAAAAATTATAATTTTCAATGAATCTATTTTAAATATATATCTAGTACTACTTTGCTTAGCCTCACTCCTCACTGATTTACACTATTAATATTATACCTATATGTATAAAAGTGACCTCCAGCATAAGGCGAACGCTTAATAAACCAATATGCCACACATACTTAGCTACAGTCGGAAGCTCATAAAGAGGCGCACGTTAAAGTGTTGCCAATTTTATCACTTAGCGGAGATATATTTATATGTAAATATCTGTATGTATGTTGGTATGTAATTACATGTAAACAAACGTTAAGGAAATCTTTGTTTTTAATTGGCATTTATTATGCCGAAAAGACATTTTTAGCGCACCGTTGTACTTATGTTTATATGTAAGTATGACGATCCACACGTATACCGACCACAAGCTGAAAAACTAAAACATCGCACACATGCATCATGTTCATACATTTTTATTTATGTTGGCCACAAAATGCGGAACTGTGTGTGGTTTTTGAGTTTATGCATTTGTTCATCCGCGTTTCAATTAAAAAAATCCGCAAAACAAAACCAAAATCGTTTAGTTATGTTGTTTTGTTGGTCGCGGCAGCACTTAAAGAACGCTTACATACTATGTAGCACCTTTTGCATGGATTATTGTATCCACCTGAGGAGCTCCGATTGGTTGTGCGATGTATGACGGTTGCGTGGCGTAGCTGACATGCTGGAAACAGACACACATAACACATGTTCTAGTATGCAAACATGACGCATTTGCATAAAGCGGTTAAATCAAGCTGGTGGTATCCACCTAGGAATAAACATATATTTGTAGTATATTATATAGTTTATAATTTTAATAAACAATTAAAATTAAATTAAATTTTCAACCGCTAAATCTCATTTAGAAAGTAGGTGCGGTCGCAGCTGAATGAATATTGATTAGCATCTTTTCTGTTTTATTTATTATTATGCAATTCTTTGTTAGTTAGCAGCAACGTTGGCTTGATTTATATTTGCGGAATATTTATGCAAAAAGGAAATTTAACTTTGATTGGAAAAATATTTAGAAGTGTTATATCAATGATTTGCAAATCTATTGAGACGTGTTCGTCCGTATGTCTGTATATACGGTAACTTGTCCCTCAGTTTCTGATATATCGTTCTGAAATTTTGCTTTTCGCCCCAAGAAGCTGCTCATTTGTCGAAACCACCGATATCGGAATACTATAGCATATAGTTGCCATACCAACTGAACGATCAAGATCAAGCTTTTGTATGGAAAACTTTTTCATTTGACGAGATATCTTCACGAAATTCGGCATAGATTATTATCCAAGATAACTCTACAATGTCCTTTTTTTCTTTCTTTTTTTACGCAGCCGAAGTTAACGTTTTTTCTTGTTTAAGTATACTTTTACTTCGCTTTAAAGCTTTTTTTCTCCTTTGAATGGTCTATATGTTTTTGTAAATGATAAACTAAGCAATGATCTCGTTGACTAACCCCTGTTTCGCTATTAAAATCCCCTTTTTAAGAAAATTCTAAATTTAATATGACAACCGGATTCGATAAATGTCATTTGCATCTGAAAGGGTTAATCCCAAAAAAAAAAAAAAAAGTATCGAATAGTGTGGAGCATTCTTCAACACATTGACTCGAATCGAACATAAAAAAATAATAATGGCGCTTATAAATGACAAACAGACTGATGAGTAAATATACATACATATGTATATCTATATAAATTGTTGTCATTGCGTCAATAATGTAATCAGCGAGGTGGTTGGCTAGCTAATTTATGCAAATTTGACACATGTGCGTCGCCGTTAAAAGTAAAGAACCTTTCATTAGCAGCAGCGCTCGACCGCAAATGTTATTGAAATAAAAAAATAACAGAATATACGAATAAAATGGCAACACTGGTAAACCGCAAATATGTTCAATTAGACCAAATGCATTCACGATGAGCTAGCAAATAAATAAGGCATACAAGTCCAGACCTAAATGAGTTGCAGATAAAAGAGAGTGGTCAAGGTGAATCCCCAGATAGATATATAACTGTATATATGTATGTCTATATAAAAAATATAACCTCGAACTAAACCAACTTAACCGCTAACGCTATCTTTCTTCATGTATTTACGCATGCGTATTAACCATTCTTATTTACACTTTTTGTTTACGTTTTTTCAGCGCGCCGCTGTTTCAATCCCAATCAACGTCCAGGCACATGCGTCTCGATTTACGATTGTCAGACATTGTTGTCGGTGCTACAACGCGGCGCAATCCAACCGCTCGACACCGAATTTCTGCGCGCCTCCGAATGTATCGGCGGATACGGCAATGGTCCGTATGTGTGCTGCACCGGAGATACCGGTTTCACGCGCAACACCTACGACGACTACAGCCGCCAGACCGGCACGGTGCTATTTCCCGTCGGCTTTGGTGAGGGTCGACAACGGCAGAGGCAGCGCTTAAGCGCAGTAGCTGGTGGTGGGCGTGGCTTTAATAGCATCGCCGGCAACGATGGCAGCGGCAAGCAGCCCAGAGACCAGACAGTTGGTGCGCAAACATCTGTCGCGGCCGTGCTGCCGCGCTTGCCCACCTGTGGCGGTGTGACAATATCGAATAAAATCTACAGCGGCACAGATGCGGATCTCTATGAGTTTCCGTGGATGGTGTTGCTCGAGTACAATCGACGTAAGTGACGAATCGCTTACTTTTACTTATGTAGATTTTGATTTAGTGATCTATTTGAGTTTGAGTTAACAGCAAATGTAGGAATGCGCACACTTATTTGCATTGTTGTATATTTACATATATTTATATAGGTAGCACATATATAATATAATTGTAAATTTTTCAATCTATTGTAATTATAGGTTCCGGTGGCTTGTCAACCAACTGCGCAGGTTCGCTCATAAATAATCGCTATGTACTGACGGCGGCGCATTGCGTGAAAGGTGCCATTGAGAAGCAAATCGGAACACTGTAAGTGAAAATTTGCGGATTTCATTCAAAAATTTCTAAATATTTTTCATAGCATAAAAGGGCATAAAAAGATATTTATACTGATATTGATCGGTCAGTTTGAATGACAGCTATAAGCTATAGTGGTTGGATAATAATCTGTGCCAAATTTCGTGAAGATACCTTTGTCAAATAAAAAACTTTCCGTACAAGGACTTGAGTTTCATCGATAGGTTGTTTGGCAGCTATATGCTTTAGTTGTCCGATATCGGTGGTTCTGACAAATGAGCTTGATGAGAAAAGGACGTGTGAAAGATTTAACAAACCGAAATCTAAATACCTCCTTTTTCGACCCAGCCGGCGGAGGAGACCCAATTCTTTACCAACATTTATTTTGATTTTTCGGACATCCAGAAGTGTACATTTTAATTTTACCTGGGTTTGGTATAATCTCACTTATTATTAGTCAAGAATCAGGTAAAAGGGAAACATTCGGGTCCCTAGGAATAATTTCAGATCGTTATCTCAAAAAATGAGGGACTAGTTCGCGAGTATATAGATTGACAGACAGACGTCCGTGGCTAAATCGAGTCAGCTCATCACGCTGATTGTTTATATATATGTATGTATATGTATATACTTATAGGTCTCCGACTTGGTGTTACAAGCATCGTGGCAATTTTAGTATTTCCCGTCCAGGGTATAAAATATTGCTAAAGTGATGAGAGTCATAATTTTTAGTACTTATACCTATTCATATTTATAGCTCTGCCAATGGATTTCAACTATATATTATTTATAGTTAAAAGAAATCCATTATTTTTTCATTAGTTCAGTTCTTCAGTTTTATTTGGCATAATTAAAAATATCCGATTTACATATGTGAAAAATGCACTGTTTTGTTCCATAACTTATTGCCATTTTGAAGTGGTATTTCATAATGCCACTCTCATTGACACTCTCAACTGGGACAGTTGATATTGACAAGCTGCCCTTGAAGAGAAGTTTTCACCAGCAAAATCATTCGCCGTAGTCAGAAAGAGGTAACAATCACTTGGTATCAGGTTCGGGCCATAAGATGAATTCATAAGAACATACACACCAAGCCTCCGAAGCTTCTTGTGAGTCATTTTCGATGTGGCTGGCCTGTCGTTGCCTTAACGGAACACAATTCCTCTCCTATTGGCCAAAACTGACCAATTCTGGACTATTGCTTATTTCAGACTGTTCAATTTTTGACGGTACATGTCCGAATCAAGAGTTTGACCGTAGGGGAGCAACTTATAGTAGATGATTCCATGCCAATTCCATCAACACTCATAGAAAACTCTTCCTGATAGTCATTCCCTGCTTGACCACTGTTTGCGCCGGCTCACTGCCATTCGACAACGTCCGTTTTTGCTTGACGGGTTCGTAAGTGGCCCATTTCTCATTACCGGTAACCTTCCGCTTTATAAATGGATCGACTTTGTTAGGGTTCAGCAGGAAACGCTTTCTAAACGCTTAAAAAAATTTGTTAGGACTTAGGATCAAGCCTTAGGTGATCTTATTTGTCCCGGAAAAATCCGAGACGGTTTTTTTTTGTCATCGATTTTTTCCATATTATTATTCACTGAAAATCGCGACACATAATAGGTGAGAGAGACAATTTTATTGAAATCATTTTTTTTTAAGCCCGGGACGGCCGAGACGCTTAACTCGGAATCCGCACTGTCCCGGCCAAACCCGGACGAATGGTCAGCTAGATTCTAGCCATACCGACAAATCAACTCTGTCATTATCTAAACATCAAGGTGCTGGCTGTTTCTAATTTGGTTTTTGTTTCGGCTACGAATCGAATGCGCAAGAATCACCCTAATTTTCAATCTTTTGTACATAATATTAGTAGTTTTTTATAGAGAAAAATACCATGAATAGTCAAACAAATAAATCAATTAAAAATATTAACAATATAATTATTTGCTGTTCTCTTAGTATTGGCGTTCGACTAGGCGAATATGACACCACGAAACCAACCGATTGCAATGACTACTCATGCGCTCCCGCGGCCATACGTGTCGGCATTGAGGAGACCATTCCACACGAGCAATATGATGACAATTCTGCCAATAAGGAGAATGACATCGCATTGATTCGTCTCGATCAGGATATACGCTTCTCAAATTCCATACGTCCCATCTGTCTGCCATCGGCCGTGGCTCAAGAGCGCTCGGCACCGGTTAGCGGTACACAGTACACCGTCGCCGGTTGGGGTAGCACGCTGCGCAGGCCAAAAAGTGCTGTAAAACAAAAATTACAAGTGCCACTTGTGGATTTGTCACAATGTCAGCGCAAGTATCGTGAACGCAAGGTGAACGTGGTGAGTAATCAACTGTGTGCCGGTGGCGTTTATGCCGAGGATAGTTGTGAGGGCGACTCCGGTGGTCCACTAATGCGCTTTCGCAACGATGCTTGGGTCTTGGAGGGCATCGTATCGTTTGGCTACAAGTGCGGTTTAAGCGGCTGGCCGGCGGTGCATACTCGCGTGGCGAACTATGACGACTGGATACGAAGCAAATTACGCAATTAATTTAATTTTGTCTTAATACACTGAATTTATATGTAAATTATATAAGTTTATATGTATATCTATAGGTTAAATTAGCATTTAATAACATGAATTTAATTGTGATCTTGCCATTAGTTTCTCATTTCCGTTCGTGTCATATTCAAGTATTCCAAAAACTATAATCCATAAATATACATATGTTATAACAAGCAGATTTATCATAATTCATTTAGCTATATGTAGAAAATAATTTATATTATATAGTACAAGTATTTATAATGCAATGAAGAAACAGTTATTTCGTGTTGTTAAAAATTCAATAAAAAATATTAAAAATATTAATGTTACGAATTTCTTATTACTTATTGAAATGGTGATCTTCCCTAACAAGTATAATTATTCTTAAATATTTTCATCTATGGTTTTACTACTGTTATACTTTTGAATCTAATTTTTTGGATTGACAAACTATTTACAAAATGTTTATACAAAGGGGTGGCTTTGTTCCCCTGCAGTGTCTATGTTAGGCCTCAATGCACTTACATCAGAGAATGTAAATGAGTACTCATTTACATTCTCTGCCTAAACAGAGGCTGACATACAACACTGTTATCGTTGTTCAGAGACAGCACTGTCAAACTCGAACTCAACATGTATGGTAGAACAGAATAACAGAAGTTTATGTATGGTAAATTTTAAAAGCTAGTTCGTTCATTCTTCAAAACAAATAAATACATTCGGAATGCCAATTAATTTATTAGTTTTATTAGAGTTTTACCAATACAAAAATTAAAACAAGAAAAAACGTTAACTTTCACCGAAGCTACAAATACAAAAAATATAATAACCTACACAAATACAAAAATTTCCACACAAAAACTTGATTTTGACAGTTTGACAATTTATATGGCAGCTATTAATATAGTGGTCCATTCTGAAGAATTTCTTTGCCATTCAGCAATTTCATTCCCATCGTATAGTTTGTATGGCAACTATATGCTATAGTAGTCCGATCTAAACATTTTCTTCGGAGATTATACAGTTAATAATACACAATAATTCGTGACAAATTTCATGAAATTATCGCGAAAATAAAAAGGTTTTCGATACTAGGGTTTGATGCCGATCGTTCAGCTTGCATGGTGCTTATTAGTACAATAGGTTCGAAAAGTCTTGAGGAAAACTTGCAATTATTGCAATAATGAATAATTATAATGCATCTCATAGCCAAAAAGTCCAAACCAAGGAAAAGTAGACTAAGCTAAATGGGAATAATAAATTTTTTTAAATAAAAATATGTGTGAATTTCCTCCATTCAATGATAGTTGATAACAACCGGTTTGTTTTCATTCTATATATAAGTATGATATGTATTAACTATTTTCTCTCCTAGTATGACTTGCAGAACGAGTATTGTAAATGCTTGTATTATATGAACATTGGAAATTATTATTAATTTGTCTGCTAAACTTGTGGTTTTCTAAGCATGAGCAGTTGACCTTTGCATGCGTAGCTTATCGGCACATTTCCGTTTGCGGGTTTTCCGTTCATTAGTTCGGTATAAATCTCGCACGCCATCCGAGTTTCTTTTTTCGTTTTTTAACTTCTTTTGTCAAACGATATATCGATTTTTATCAAGAAATTAAGCTGGTTGTTAGTTAAGAAAACTAAAGAAAAATGAAGTCCCAACTAAAAAATTCATATTCTATTAATAAATGACATAGCTTCTTGGTATTCAGTACCAGGTCCGGTTATATTTCTAACATTTTTGATATAAAAAAGCAACAGCCAGCAATCTACATTTTTCACATAAGAAATATACTGAGAAGTCTAACTGAGTTTCTACTTGTATTACTAGTATAAGCGCAAATGTTTATTAGCCGACTTAGATTCGTTACTTCGGGGCTCGCTGTATTTTAGCACTACACGCTGGTCGAAAGTTTGCAGAATCAAGTAGGAACAAAGTTAACCAGTAGAATTTAATTCAAGGGATTATGTGGATACCTAATTAAAATGGTATTATTATTTCACCTTTATTTGATTTGGCTTGTCTGTAAAATACTATACCAAATGTATGTTCGATTTGTCACTCGCTAAAATATTATTAAATTATATTAGGAGAGTACAAGTGTATTCAATTCTCAGCATGAATAAATTTTAATACACACTCCTACACAACGAGACGTCTTATACTTAAATTGCTCAACGTACAAAGTTTAAAGCTATTTTGAGAGCCTAAAAGTATGCAGCAAAAGCGATTTATTTAGCAGCTAAGTTAATCATGATATAAAAGAAAGTGAAACCGCAACAGCTGTCAGCTGTTTAAACTAACACAGGTTATTATTGTGCGGAACCGGCTTCAAGTATGCTGCTTGGCGACCATGAAGTGTACGCACGCGCCGCATATGAGAGCTTGACGTTACGTCATTGCATAATTTTTCCCCTTCAACAACGAAGTGGCGTCGCCGTCGTTGTAGATGACGAATAAAAAGGTAAACATAAAGTGTAAATGACCGCAGCCCCAACTTGGAGATCTGGTTTTCGAAATGGACGCGTCGCGATTTCGCATTAAATGAGCACAGCTAAGGGCGCCACATGATGGCACAGCTGATGGACTAATTATTTTAAGACTATTGCGACTGTTTTTCCAAATATTTATTTGATTATTAAATTAATCGCATTAAAGGTAGGCGAAAACGCTGCTGGAGCTTCGACAACTTTAACTAGTTTTTTTTGTCGAAGGCGCGACATTGCCGTTGTGACGGAGCAAAGAAACAAGCGTAAATAAACTATTATTTATACAATGTCTTTAAGCGCTGCGAACGCACAACTTAACAACGTTTTTCATTCACTCTCGCGGACGCTGCCGTTGAGCGCTATTTAAGTTCACAGCTGAGCGGTACGTCAAGCTGGTGTGGTCGTGCCCGTGCTTTGAGCGGATAACTGAAACGTTATACGAATTATTCAATTGAATTGGTAAAGTTGAGTTATCGCCGCGAACAGCCCATTCAAGTCGCGCGCCGTGCATTAGTTACACCGGCGGAGACGAGGAGGACGTTCGTCGACATACATAAATCGTGGGTTTTAAACGTGACTTCATTGACGATCTGCAGTGTCGACAAGCCAACTGTGCCGACTTGGTATTTACGTATGAGTGGGACATTTTCGAAATTCCGAATCGGCGAAATTGTAAGTCGACAATGCACTTCCATCGTTTGCTCGTCACATTATCGCTAACAGTCGTTTTAAAGGCGCGCGCCAATACAGACGTTCCATTACTTGGCCCCTCAGCAGTTAACGAAAATAAATATATCCAAACGATTCAACCGGCATCTGCACAGCAAAAGTGTGATATACCTAATGAGGCTAAAGTGGGTGTTTGTTTGGCCGTCGGCAATTGCTCAGCCTATCTACAGGCGCGCAGCGTACCGAATATATCCGCCGAGAAAGTGAATTTTCTAAAGAAAGTGCAGTGCTCTTGTAAAGAAAATGACTCGGATGTGCTAGAGCCATTGGTCTGTTGTCCAGCTAATGGACAGGACTATTTATATCCTTCACTAAAGTTTTCGAAATTCGAATATCGCCGTTTTCAAAATGTGACCGCGCAATTCAAACGAAAGAAACTAAAACGTCGCATACAAACTGTGGAACCGGGAGAGAGTTTCAATTTGCGCAACGAATGTGGCAAACAGGTGACAAATCGTATTTACGGTGGCGAGATCGCCGAACTGGATGAGTTTCCGTGGCTGGCGTTACTGGTGTACAGTTCAAGTATGATTTAATTTCATGCATGTGTATTTATGCGGTTTTTGTGTGAGAAAGTGATTTTCATCTTCCTTTCATTCGCAGATGATTTCGGCTGTAGTGGCGCGCTTATCGACGATCGTCATATTCTGACTGCGGCACATTGTGTCCGGGGCGAAGGTGTGCGTGAAAAGAAAGGATTGTAAGTTTCCAAAGAATGGAAAATTAGTCAAATTAAAAGTGACTGAGCTGTTGTAAGCGATCGGTAGAGATTAATCGTGGGGAATATTTGGAAGTGAAGAAGATTTATTAAAAAAAAAGTACTTCCGATATTTTTTTCAAACGCATACGTGTAATATTTTCAGTGTTCTATAAACTTTAACCTTAAATTTTGATTCAGCTGCCTTAAATCAGTGACGTTTAGTAAACCTTATAGGTTAAACTCTATTATTATTATTAATTATTGTGAAGAAATACTCAAGAGCAATATAAACTTTACAATGTTAAATATTTCGACATAAATTTTCAAGCCAACTTTACGAAACTTCAGATACTTTTTTGACAACCCAATGGTTTTGAAAAGTTCAAATTTAAAGTTTTAAATTGAAGATGAGGTGGGAACGACAAACCACAAGTTTTTGCAATTAATTTTTTAAACAACACTCATTTTATAGCGAACCAGCATTGCTTTCGAATTATTAGGTAAAAATTTTATTAGAAACTCTAACATGCTCTGCTCTAACATATCAAACTTTTCAAGGCATTATTATGTTTTAGCAAAAATAAAAAACAATTTTGTAGGTGTTATGCACTTTTTTAAGAGAATTTATTCAAAGCGAGGTGGTAACTCCAATTTTTATGTTGTAAAAATGCGATTTATTTATGACTTCTTGGATACTCAGTTTACCTCACCTAGCTTACACCATTATTAAAGTTCTGCATTATTTGAAATTCATTTATAAAATAATATACTTGTATATGACAACTTTTTTTGAGTTCATTTCTTTAAAATCCTATTAAGATAGAACCTCATTCGGAAAATGTAGGTTTTAAGAATAGTTCACCAAGCCTCACTCTTCGAGCTCAAAAGTTTAATGGGAGTTTAATATAACAGTATTTCCCAAATTTCTCAAAGACTAATAAATTTTGGTGATTTCTTTCGTTAACGATTTCTCGCAATTAAATCAACCGATTTCGACCCGGTTTGCGGCAAACGATGTGTTTCTTCAAGGTTTAGAACTGATTAGTTTTTGGTATCGATCGGTCAAAATACGATTTTTTCGAAATTTTTCGAATTTTCGATTAAATCAACCGATTTCGACCCGGTTTGCGGCAAACGATGTATTTTTTCAAGGTCGTTTGGAAAAAATTCGAAAAAAACGATTTTTCAAAATTTTTATTTTTGAGACTTCTCGAAATCTACTAGTCCGATTGGGTCCAAACATACACGAAATTCAAGTGCAATGAAACATTTTGGAATGCCGTTAATTTATTCAAATCGGTTGAACCATACGGACATCATCGTAGAAATGTTCGGGGAAGCTTCCTCGACCCTCAGAACGTTGAGATCTGTTGAGAACTCGATTTTTGCAAAATGGGGTGA